TTCTGCCTGGAATCTGCCTGCCCACTCTCAGAGTAAACTGAGAGGGAAATCAGTCAGGAATCCGTCTGCCTGCACTCAGTAAGCCTCCGCCCTCAGCCCTCTGCCTGCCGACTAGCCTCTGAACCCTCAAGGTTCCCCCCCTCTGCAGCTCCGCTCAACTTCAGAACAGGTATACCCTCGTTCATCAGAAAACCTGCAGTAACTTGGATCAATACTAACCACTCTGCCTCCGGTCAGTGGTGAACCCCTGCGTGACCAGTCAACCTACCAAGGACCAGTTCATAATATATTGTGCTTCATTGTAAATAAATCTTTGAACTTTTTCTCTTCCTCTTGAGTGATCTCTGCATGTGGGTTAGGCACCTTAAACCCATCATGACACTGTTAGCCTAATAATGTTGCTTAATCTCCTGTAAGTGTTGTTTTCACGGCTACATGTTCTTTGTTCTTTATCAGAAAGGTTTTGATTTTTAACCTCCCTGTTTATCTTTCACACATTGCCTGGTGGCAAAATAAATAAACACTCATAGGAAATGAATGTCTGTTTTACATCATATTTGCACTTCAAGGAAGCAGGAAATAACAGATTCATTCAAAAAATAAAAATTGCATCAGCTTTTTTAATTCAAATTGTTGATGTATAAATATAGTGATGATGATTTAGATTAAAACATTATATTTTCCTCACTGCATGAATGCACTGTACTATGAGGTTATTACATATTGAATTATGGCATGCCATATACATTAAGATTTTTGTAGCTAAAACCTTAATTCATACTTTCCTAACTGCAAGCTACAAACCCAGGACTTACCTCTTGTCTTATTTTGGTAATTTCCAGGAGAGATTACTGTACCTTGGCACAGATCACTCCACCTGTACAGCTGATTCCCCTTGTGTTATGTGTCAGTGAATTTGGATCAGGAAGCCAGCTCTTTTTAATTAACCATCTTCTCAAATCAGTGTGTGTTCATGGGTGTCTGTGTGTGTGTGAGTGTACTTGCACTTGCTGCCAAGTAAAGACATTTTTGGTGCATTTTACTAGTAAAGTGAGGACTTTGATGTAAGTGAGGACCTTTTACTGGTCCTCACTTCACTGGCTTAGGTTTAAGACCAAGGTGGGATTTATATTTAGGATAAGGTTAGGATTACGTATGAACCAGTAATGGTGAGGTTTAGAGTATGCCTCAAGGATGTAGGCTGTGGTAAGGGTAGAATATGAGTGGAAGTCGATGGGAGTGTAGTGGTCCTAATTTTGTGTATAAAACTCAGATTGTTGTGGGTGTGTTTGGGGTCGACACATGCTCAGGCGTCCCTCCCATGTGTGATATTAGTATGCCAAGCTGCAGGACAGGCAGCTAGTTCTAATATCTTGTTTGGCATTGATTCAATGTCAGCTAATTGTCACCTTGTGCATGAAATTTAGCCTCTTATAATCTGTGCATGTAGCTGTGTGTGTTTGCCTCTAAGTGTCCTGTTAAACTTTAAAAAAAAAAGAAATCAAAAGCAGATACTTTTTCAGGCCTCATTAAAAAAAAAAAAAACAGTAATACAGTATGTTTTTGGGATGTCTTCTGGGATAATTCGATGGAATGTGTCCTAAGTGAAGTGGTTGGGTGTGTGTGTGTGTGTGTGTGTGTGTGTGTGTGTGTGTGTGGTGGTGGTGGTGGAGGGGGGGATTACCCAAACACCGCATAGTGCCAGTGGGAGTCTAAAATCTCCGACATGTTATTGGTTATTGTCAAAAGTGTGTTTCTGTTGGTATCAGTGTGTGTTCCAGAAATGCCTATTGCCCAGTCCCCTGTAGAGCACAGTTAACAATATATCAATTAAATTAGCGGTAGCTGGGTTTAATGGGAATTATGATCACAGTTGGATATGTGGACATTTGACTGTAACAACCTTTTGATGCATAGGCTGAGGTAGGGGGTTTTCTCAATGACTAAGCTAAATACTGTGGAAATGACTGAAAAGCAGTGATTGCTTCAATGAAACACCAGCAGTAAATGTTGCAGAAGGTATAAAACACATTTCCTTCACCATAATATATTGTTATTAAATATTATAATAAAAATGTTTGTCTGTGAACTCCCAATTTAGATAGATAAATAAACCTAACCTAAAATAAACATTGTAATGTCAAAAGTTATTAAGATAAAAATGAACTTTGGATGAAGCTATGTTTTCCAATCCTTTTAGCAAACATTTGTGGGTTATGAATAATTACCTGACTGTTAAAACTTGCAGTGTGATGTCATTTACACTGTCTAAAGGGATGCCAGCCATTTTCAGTTTGAGGTTTAACTAAATTAATTATTGCCACCCTTCCTTCTGTCTCGCCAGATGTCTGGATGCCCTTTAATTTTTTCATATTTTGTCTTACATTGTGTATGCCAATGAAAGGCTTTATTTATTTATATTATCATGCTGTATTTATTGATAGGCAATGACAGGCGTGACGATATATAGATTAATATTCATGCTAGTGTAAGATAAAGGAGTATCTCAATACATTTTTTTGTAAAAAAAATATTTCAATTTATGTGATTAATTCAGTTGGAAAAAAAATAAACTCATGTATAGAGTCACTCACCCCAAACACACATTTCAGTAATTAATTTATATCATTGTGAATATCCTACATTAATTTTTAAAAGAAAATTAGACACTCGTGATTAAAAATTGGCAGCCAGCTGAAAAGTATTTGACCCACGTATTGTTTTTTTTTGCAGTGTGGGTAATCCTACTGGAAAATGAAATAAGCATCTCCATAAATCTTGTCGGACGAGGAAGCATGGCGAGCTAAAATTTCCTGGTAGACTTTGTTACTCACAAAGCACAGCGGACCAACAGCGGCAGTTGGCACGGCTCCCCTCATTATCAGTGCATATGTATACTTCACTCTGGACCTTGATCCGCTTTCTTTCATTAGACTATGGACCATTGATGTTAAAATAATATAAAATATATATACATCAATAGGAACACTGAGCAACAATCCAGTTCTTTTACTCCTTTGCCAAGGTAAAGCACTTCTGACATTGTCTCTAGAGTGACCTAATGCAATCAGCAGTATGACAGTTGTAGCCTTCATCCTGGATATGCCTGTGTGTGCTGAAGCGTCCTCACTTCAGTCACAGTCCACATTATTTAAATCTCTTCTAAACTATCTTATGTGCTTATCTGCACAGATGCATTGAGAGCAATGCTGCAGTTAACCCTGCTGCCCATGCATGTTTTTTCATTCTTATCAACTTCTTCTTTCTCCTGGAAGGTGTGTGCTAGAAAGAAAACTTTAGCATGTAGGTAGTTATTTAATACTTCTGCATTAGAAATGTATATACTCTAAATCAATAGGGCATAAGACCAACTGCCCTGCTTGTTTCAGATGTTTCCCTACTTACACAAAACCAACTAAATAAATGGGTAATTAACAAGCCTCTGCAGCCCTTGATGTCCACTGAGAGTTTAGTGCAATCATTTGATTCAGGTGAACTGGAGCAGAGACAAATCTAAAATATGCATTACAGTGGGTCCTAAGGACCAGAAAATAAAGACCCCTCCTCTAAATTTCTGAAAACATAATTTGTTTTTTTGTTAACTGTAATACATAGTCATAAAAATGAATAAAGCTACACGCTTAGAATATCCCTCTGTGTGTCATAAATCTCTGTAATGAGGCAGTTTTTAATTGGATTAAGGCAAATATAACTTTTCCTTTAAATGTGGTTTTAATGATATGTTCATATTATTCTGATGATGGACGAAGGGTATTATAATATATAATATTGCAAAAAGCTGAGTCGATTGTATAGACCCTGGTTGAAAACACACACACACACACATTCAGAGAAAGAAATATATTCAAAATTAAACCATAGATGATAAGAAGCAGTTGCTTCAATCACACACAGCCTAAAGACCCAGTATCATACTCATCAAAACACACAATTCCCTTTCAATCACACTTTCATTCAAATCCCTTTATTTCCAGGCTGACAGCTGGCATGCACACCTGCATACAGATAAAGATACCAATGCCACACATACTAAAACATAGACACAGATCACAATGTATATCTATATCAAAGTTAAGGGAGATGCATAGTAAATAATGTCCACCATAAAAAGTAGGCTTACTGCAACTGACTGTTATTTGTCAAGGATTTTGAAAACCACCAAAAACATTTGCTTTATTTAATGGTGATAATAAACTTGTGTGGCGAGGGAAAGTTTAAAAGAAAGCTGGAGAGGGAAGAGCATTTTTAACAGCAGCAGGGAGAATCGCTCACAAAGAGGGCATTGATACAGAGAGTGAAAGAAATTTAACACTTTCTGCTTCATCTCTCTGTAGCTTACTTAACATCATGAGCCTCCAGTGCACATCACCTGCATCAGAGCTGATTCACAGCATCATGCCTCTGTGACAACTGGTCCTCCACGAAATTCACACAGATCTCCAACCATGGGATTTCCTCTCTATGTGAAAATCCCTCTCAAACTGCTGCCAAGCAAAGAGGATTTTTAACTCCTTCTGATGCTAAATATAATTTGGTTAGTTGAGTGATTCATTCTGGGGTGGCTTGTGTTGGTTTTGTTAAGAATGTGAGGCCCTCAATACTCCAGATGTAACACTGGGTCCAACTTGGCCGCCCAACACTCTCCCATCTCTGGAATGCGCAAACACAAGGCTGTGCGCGTTTTAGTCTCATATACAGGCAGCCTTATAAGGACACACACGCAGTAGACTCAGACCTGAGAGCGCGTGCACACAATCACACTCCCTCACGCGCCAGCGCACTTATATATATCAAGCCTTCATCTAAAACTCCGTCACTCACACACACCGACTCTGACTGTTGCTGCGGAGCTCCACGCACCGATTTTTTTACTGCGCGGACGCACAACGTCAAAAAAGACTGGCAACCTCCGGCTCACGCGCGCACACAGTTACGCAGCTCCGCTCGCATGTGAGACACGGATCCGCTTAAAAACTCACCATTGGACGGGGAGAAAACCCCAACGAAGAGCCCCAACAGGAAGAGAAGCGGGAGGTCGTGTCTGAGTCCTCCCGATTTTTTCCCGATCGTCCCCCTTCTCCTCAGCAGCGGCAGCATCCCCGACGCTCCCAAATCCGTCATTTTGCTGCTAAATAAATCCAAGCTGGTTGTTTTTCAAAGTCCTCTCCCCACCTTGCCGCTCTGCTTGGCCGAAAGAAGCGGAGGGTGGGGGGGTAAAAAGGGAAGGCAGCCCCCTTACCTCCTCTCTCGTTATAAGAAAAATAAATAATAATAAAAGAAAGATCAATCACGGATATCCCTCACATACATGTCCATGTCAACGTTTGGACAGGACAGCAACCGGTGACTGGTTGACGGTCTTAGATCGGGCAGCACGCCGCTGGTGTAAGCTGTCATAGCAGAGACTGAGGAGAGAGAAGGAGAGAATCAGTGAAGGAGAGGAGAGAGATGGTCGTTATAGGTCCGCACAGCCCGGCGCGCCAGAAACGACTGAGACTGGTGGAGGTGGAGAGGAAGAGGGAGGGAGAGAGGCGCAAAGAGAGGAAAAGGTTAGTCTGAGACGAGAAAGAAAGAAAGAAAGAAAGAAAGAAAGAAAGAAAGAAAGAAAGAAAGAAAGAAAGAAAGAAAGAAAGAAAGANACAAACTGCATGGCTAAAAGAGTTTCATGATACAGAAAGAGGTCAAAAAGACGAGAAAGAAAGAAAGAAAGAAAGAAAGAAAGAAAGAAAGAAAGAAAGAAAGAAAGAAAGAAAGAAAGAAAGAAAGAGGGGAAACGTGGAAAACGGGGAGGAAATGCAAAGGAAGAGCTATGATGAAATAGAAAGAGCAGAAATCATAATCAAGAGGAAATAGAAGCGATGAGGGCAGAAAGGTTGAAGAAAAGGCGAGAAAAGAAAGGAGATGAAAGTGTAGAAAAGAACAATGTCAAGGAACAAGGCACCGAGCAAGCTATAAACAGAAGAAAAGGAGAAATTTGAAGAATGAAAGCGGCATGGTAAGAGTGGCAGGAAATTAGGAATGGGAAAGTACAGAGAGGGACAGAAGGGAAGTAACAAATAGAAAAAAAGACAAGCACTGGGGCTTGGAAGTAATGGATTAATATGAAAAAGTTCACAGGATAAGTTTATAACTTTTGGAATGAATCCATGATGTTATATATATATTACGGAAAATACTACTTTCTCCGTTTCCCTTGTGTTTTGGTTCCATAATCACCACTTTAAAGTGTGTGTAGACCCCAAAGAGAGCCACAAGCCAGTTATCGATCCCCATTCCCCTGTGGCATGTGTGAAGGATCACACTAATAAGATTACAATGCTACAAACACATCATGAAGAATTAGCCTGCTGAGCCACTAAGACAAGCAACGGCAGCATCACTTGGAGGGGAATTCACTTCGCATATGTATCAAGCAGCCACAACCTTTGCTCCTTAGTTCATCGTTGAGTAGAGTTGAGGAGTAATTACTTGTTACTTAACAACCCACTTCTTTTTTTTTTACTTTACGCATTACAGAAAACCTTCCCATTATTGTAACAATATAAACTAAGTGAGGCTTTGAAATAAAAGTTTAAGCTGGAGACCATTTTCTTTTAATATGTAACTTTACATCCACTTTAATTTGCTCCATAAAATGTTTCCTTCACTCTATTCTTCCAATGAAAGACTTGGCTGCTGTGACTTCGGCCGAGAGATCATGATCATTATCTTAGCAAGTATAAATAGAATCTTTATAAGTTAGAAATGATCATCTGCTCAAACTTTATTTCAGAATAGTATTATTAAAGAATAATGTTTTATTCTGGAATATTTATTATATAATGAAATCTGGTTGTAAAGGAGATGAAATGTGATAGGCCTAATTAAATTTTATATACCATGTGGTAATTAAAGTCTGTATACTTTTAAGTTTGTTAATCATTTTAAAGAGTTCCAAAATATGTGGGTATAATCTTCTCTTAGACCACAACCACTCAGATACTATATCTAGATGTGGCAAGAAGAGCCTTAATTAACAATAGTTTAGTGACTTTAATCACCAGATACAGATTCATGAATTACATTTTTTATATGAAAGAAGATCATTCAAATCATTTCATTTAAGCAAACCCACGCCTGTACATCCAACAAATCCCTTGAGTCCCATGACCACATGCAGCATGATTAGAAAGCTACAGCAGCCTGTCCTCTCTTGTTGTTGTTGAAAACATTTGTCACAATAATTTGCCACTAATGACCTATGTTGTTAATCCATATAAGCACATTTCTGACAGTTAACAACCTCAACTTAGATACTTGCAGGGTGTGTTTGCCTGTAAGAGCATGTGATGGCTGCACGAGTTTCTTAGTGCTTGGGCAGCTGTTATGCGTTAGAGTGTGTCTTTTAGTAAGTGACTGTGTGTGTGTATGTGTGTGTGGGTTGAGCCATTTCACAGCATTAGTGTGAGTCATCCATCAAGCTGGTAGCTCTCTGTGCATTGGGCTACTTCAGTCATTTCATATATATTTATAATAAAAAATAAAAAATAAAACGCTTATAGTAGGAGGCTATAGGAGCATACACTCCAAAAAAAGGATGCTGTTTCCAGCTCAGACAAGAGGGTCATTGGTCCCCAGATGCCTTTTAACAGGCAGGTATTAAAAAGTATGCAGATAGATAGACAGAAAGACAGAGCATCTGCAGAAAATTTAGTTCAGCACCATGGATAGCGCTATATCGAAGCTCTGTGTAGTAAGGCTGCCATCTTCTGGTCAAAAATATACTGCAGACCAAACAGAGATGCAACGGGAAGAATACATCCAACAGTTTAAACCGCAAACCTGTAGATGGTTTATATCTGTGATTATAATTAGAAAGGGGCATGAGTCACATGTCTCTCTTTCAAGGGTCTTTACCAGTGCTGACACTACCTTACTGGATTATTTTGACAGGTGTTTCAATTATGGGTGCAACAGAGATTTGTTAAGGCAAGGTGCAAGAGATGATTGTGCAACTATATTGACGGGGATAAGTTTAAAAATATACACAAGACCTCAATAGAAAACTGTTAGATAAAGGCAGCAATCAAAAACGATAAACATGATTTGTATACATAAAAAACATAGGATTAATGTTTTTAATTACTCCTGCAAATGCAAATACATACATGAGATACATGGGAGGGATAGACAAACTATGAACTGAAAGTGAAAGAGAAGTTATCAGTGTTATTGAAATGTAATTTGCTTTGTTGCCTCATCAAGCAAAACATTACAGCACATCCAGATCATCACTGTACTGTACTGTACCCCCCNCCCCCCAAGTAGGGCTTTACATAAGATGACTGATACATAACATGAGCAAATGTTTTACTTTACTTTTTATTGAATGTATTTAAGGTTAATGTAGGTTAATAAGATAAAGTAGAATGAAGAATAATGGTAATATATAGTTCTCAGGGGAAATAAAATTGTTACATGAATTTCAAATTTCAATTCGCTTAAACTGTATGAGTGAATGGAGAGTATCTGTGTATATCACTTGAATCTAATGAACCTCAGTTGAATTTAGGTATGTTCTTGGACCTGATCATTCAAACTCATGAATATGCTATGGTTTAATTATTCCTTTGATTAGTGCTGTATAACACTTTTATGGTCATTGTCCTATTGAAAGGTAATCTTTCAGCCCTGAGTCAAATTGATTAAACCCTATAAACAGTTTTTTTTTCTGGAATTTACTGCATTTCTACACTTCTTCTAGCATGGATTGGTAACCTGTCCAGGATGTGCACTACCTTTTGCCCATTGACTGTGTAGGATATAATGGATATACCCAGATTTTAATCATAAAAAGTAAAAATAGAGATAAGGGAAATAATATATAACTAGAATCAACAGCGTGTTGGTGCGGTGGGTACCGCAAAAAGGTTCCAGGTTTCCTTCCCGGCTCGGGGTCTTTCTGCATAAAGTTTGTATGTTCTCGCTGTGCAAGCGTGGGTACTTGGGCTTCCTTCCACAGTCCAAAAACATGACTGTTAGATTAATTATTTTCTCTCTAAATTGTCCCTAGTTGTGGGTGTGTGTGTGTACATGGTTGTATGTCTTCCTGCGTCTCTGTGTTGCCCTGCAACAGACTAGTGATTTTGTCCAGGGTGTACCCCACCTCTTGCCCATAGTCTTCAGGAGACAGGCACTGGCCCAGTGACCATGAAGGAATAAGTGGGAGAAAATGAATGGATGGATTGATGAAGATTTAAAATAGAATTGACAATTTGTACAGTACTTGGTCAAAACCAAAACAGAGGGGGTACTAATGAAATGGAGCCAAAACCTGTGCTAGAGCACACTGAAAGGACATCAGTGAGGTCGGATCGGAAACAGACGGATTACCTGGTACCAGACATACGCAATGGATTTTTAAAGACAGCAACCTGCTTTTGAGGTAAGATCTGTAAGAACCTCGGGGGCCTGAGGATCCACTGGGCCAAGATGGGCTGGACAAGGAGGAAGCAAGTAGAACACTGCACAGAGCCAAGCACTGACCTTGGTGAGATGGAGGAAGAGCAGGAACCGGAGGAACCTCACAGTGTCAAGAACCTCCATGCTCACTACGCTACACCTACTGTAACAAACTATCAGAACATTATCTGGTTTTATAGCTGGCTGGGTACGGCGAGGCTGAGTGGCGGCAGTTTTGACAAGGACGTTGATGCCATTCTAAATGCATCTTGCAAAGGAGAAGTTGATCGGCGACTGCAGTCTATGAGCACACTAATCATGAGCATTGGTGCAGCGAGGTTTGACATCAAACTACCAAAGGCTCACAACATTGTTAGACCAAGATCTCCCAGTTAAGGGAAGCCTTGAACCATCAGTATAAGAGGGTGTGCAACATGCAAAGACCAGCCCACAATAGTCTTCATTTTTGTCTCCAATAGAGCCCTACAGCGGACCACTCCAACACAGAAGAAAAAGTTGTGCAGGAGCATTGTCTTGATCTGGAATAGATTTGGTTTTGTTATTATTTGTTCCAGAAGAAGTGTGCTTGCTTTTCTGTTGGTGGTTGAACTGTTTATTTAAATGCAGAGACAGAGATTGTTGGGTTTTGTGAACAGCAGCAAAGACACAACAAAAAAAAAAAAAAACACCACCACCAAAATAACAAAAAAAAATAAAAAATACACAAGCAGGACACACAAATCTTTCAGAAAAAGTTTGCATAGAACTGGAGGGAGCTACTGGTGTAAAATCAAAATAAAAAAGGATTGTAAAACTTCTCTGTCTCTTTAAAAAAATATTACTCCATTTAAGTGATTAGAACACAAGGTTTCCCTCAGCAGAGTATATCTTGCTAAGTCAGGGTCAACAATAGAGGGCTTTAATTGACTAAGCTTAAGTCTCTCAGGAAAAAGAAGACCTGAACATTTTAATGAGTGTAGGTCCAAGGTGAGTTACTTTAT